TCTGAGGAGGTGACATTTAAGCAAAGACCTAGGTAGAGTGAGCCATGTGCTTAGAGCGGGGAAGAGAGTCCCAGGCAGTTAGAACAGCCAGTGCAAAGGCCCTGTAGCAGGAGTATACTTGGGGAACAGCTGGAAAGCAAAAGGAGATGAAGTCCAGGTAGGCTGGCACCAGATGACAAGGAGTTTTTGTAATCATGGGGAGGATTTGAAAGCGGCCTGAAGGGCAGAGGCAGGGCAACTGTCTCACTGTGTGCAGAAGCAGCAGAAACTCAGCCCCCCCCACCACCGAAGCCTTGCTCATGCGAATAGGAATAGCCGCTCCAGCTGCTGCGCACTTACTCTGTGCCAGAGGTTGTGCTCATCGCTTTACATGCATGAACTCAACTCGTTCCCACTAGAGGCCTGCGGGGAAGGTGCTGTCATCTTCGTTTTACAAACTGAAAATGAGACATTCAAGGAGGCTCAGTCCCTTTCCCAAATTCTCAGAACCCATGGACTCCTTCTACAAAATCCTATTGAACAGTAGGGTATGTGAGTGCGCTCCCTTCTAAAACGCTCTCTCCCTCTCCTTAACTGATCATTGACCTTTTCACACACAGCAAAGGGAGAGTTCTCTATAAAAGGTCATTCCGAACTTCAAAAGCAGACACAGGCAATTGTCTTGAGAGTCCGGACCTCCGGCAGTCTGGCCATTTGCTTTAAGAGCACCTCAGCAAAACCCAAGATTTATGTGAATCATGTCTAATGGGAAGAGTGTCCCTGAGTCAGGGACAAGGCAAGGGCTGGGAGGGTTGCTAGACCGAAGTGGAGTGGGGAGCAATTCTTCTGGGAACAGCAGAAGTCAAACGCAAGGGAGCCAACTCTCATTCCGGCCTGACAGACACAAGGAGTGGTTCTTTTTTGTGTGTGGCATTTCAGTGAGGCTGCATTTTGAGGTGAGTTGGTGCTTAAACAAGGTCACAGCTCAGCAAAGGTGGGAGGGGCAGGCAGGTGCAAGCAGGCAAGGGTATGTTTAAAAGAAGTCATTTCCGGCAGCCATCAGAAACCTGGCTGGGGAGACTAGGTAGGGAACAAGAAAGACTCGTTCATTTATTCACTGACCTAGCAGAGCGGCTGAGCATTCAGGGGCCAGCTTTCCAGGCTGCAGTAACTCACATGTGAATATGCTTTGCCAAAGTAGGCAGTCCATAAATATCAACCACTCCTTTCACGATTACAACTCCCTGATTGCACGCTGTCCTGTATCCCGACTGTATTCATTGATTTCTGTAGGGTTACAAAAGATACAAAGGCATGCAAACTGTTTTAGGCAAAAGGAGGCTACATTGGTTCCTATAACTAAATGGTGGCAGGGCTGGCGTGTTTCTATACTTCAGGGGCAACCGGTAGCAGAAGGCCACACTCTTTCCCCACCATCTCTCATCTGAGTTGATTATCATTTCACTGTCTCCTATTGGTCTCCTCTGTAAAGAACAGAAACTAGGACGCCAGCAGGATCCAGGCCCAACTCACAATGTTAGAGAACAACTGAAATTCCCTCACAGAGGGGTAGTCTGATTGGCCCAGGGGGTCAGGTGCTCAGCTCTGATTGGCCCAGGGTAGGTGCTCAGCTCTGATTGGCCCAGGGTAGGTGCTCAGCTCTGATTGGCCCAGGGTAGGTGCTCAGCTCTGATTGGCCCAGGGTAGGTGCCCAGCTCTGATTGGCCCAGTGTGGGTCAATTGCTCTGCTCTGATTGATCCAATGAGGGTCAGGTTTCATCCAACACTTGCACTCACATCCCATTGGCCAAACCTATAGGACTCTACGAAGCTTCCAGGGGAGACTGGGAAAGCAGTTTCTAGTTAGGTAGGGATGTGCCCAACTAAACTCCAGTGGATTTTTTTTTTTTTTTTTTTTTTTGGCCGCACCTCCTGGCCTGTGGGATCTTAGTTTCCCAGCCAGGGATCGAATCTATGCCCCCTGCATTGGAAGTGCAGAATCTTAACCACTGGACTGCCGGGGAGAAATCCCTAAACTTCAGTGGGTTCTACTGGGAGTGTGAACACTGAGAACAATTAAGTGTTTGCCGTTATAAAACCCCCTGTGACCTGTGAGTATCTGTGTACATCTTTCTTCACACACATTGGACCCACTTACAACTTCCTGAGGGTGACAACCCAAAGTTCACGCAGTCGCTGCGTCCAGCCCCAACAGCAGGATCCCTTGGTGGTGCACAGTCCCCCTTCTCAGATTGAGATGTGGCCCTGATCATCCAGGGCCTGAAAACTGAAAAAACAATCATCTGCCCCTCACTTCATACCTGCTCGGGCACTCCACGATGTGGAGTAGGAAAGACTAACCATCATCAAATCTCCAGTTAGGCAAAGGGAACACTTGTGGACCACCAGTCCATGCAGTTACCAAGTCTGTGGGGCAAGCGGTGTGAAGACTCTGGTGCACTGGAGTACACCTTGCCTCCCTTTTTTGCCCTGAGGGTAACCCCCTTGTCCACTGAGGCCGCTGGCTTTGCCCTCTGGGAGTTTCTTCCTTGACCATTATCATCCTTGGCCATACTGCCAAAGTGGGTGTCCAAGAGAATGCCCTCCTGGAGGGCACACCGCTCTCTGAGCTTACTTCTGATAGTAGGGTCTGGGGGGCCCCGGATTTCTTTAGGGATTGAACAATTGCAGGCTTTTATAGACGAGACCTTTGGTTTTGTTGGCTATCCAATTCTGTCACACCCAAAGAATCCTTTCTGCGCAATAGTTCTTCAACCTGCCAACTCCCATGTTTTACTAACTGGCTTCCCTGCCCAGCTGTGCCCTGCTGCCTCATTTGAACCGTGGCTACCGTGAAGCACCCGAAACAATGGCTAGGTGGAAATGACAGCCTTAATCAGATCTTTGCCACAGGGCTGTCTCACATTGCCAGGTAGAAAAATCCTCTGAGTCAGTAATTTGGTTTGCCTTCCAGTTTATTACAGGTTGCTGCTGCTAAGTCGCTTCAGTCGTGTCCAACTCTGTGCGACCCCATAGACGGCAGCCCACCAGGCTCCCCAATCCCTGGGATTCTCCAGGCGTTATTACAAGTTGGGGCTTTATCAAATAATCTGCCAGGAGTATCAAGGGCCTTCAGCTTTCCTTCTTGCCATATCTTTGTTTTCTTTCACATTGGTTTAGGTGCTAAATCATGTCCGACTCTCGTGACCCCATGGACTGTAACCTGGCAGGCTACTCTGTCCATGAGATTCTCCAGGCAAGAATACTGGAGTGGGTTGCCATTTCCTTCTCCAGGGGATTGTTCCAACCCAGGGATCGAGCCCTGGCCTTCTGCATTACAGGCAGATTCTTTACCAACTGAGCTACAAGGGAAGTCCCATTCCCAACTGCTAAGCCATGGCCACTTGGTTTTGGGTTTTTGTTGTTTTTTTTTTTTTTTTTTGGTCACAGTTACATCTTATTTTTACTGCCAATTTCTGTTTTAGTTGGATATAGGTTAAGTTACTATAACCAAAAGATCCCAAAATACAGAGGCTCAAATTCTTTTTCTCTCCCATAATGATTCAGAGTAGGCAGCTGGTTCAGGGCAAGTTAGGGCTTCCCAGGTGGTGCTAGTAGTAAAGAACCCACCAGCCAATGCAGGAGACATAAGAGACGTGGGTTTGATCCCTAGGTCTGGACGATCCCCCTGAAAGAAGGCATGGCAACCCACTCCTGGAGAATCCCCATGGACAGAGGAGCCTGGCGGGCTGCAGTCCATGGGGTCGCAAGGAGTCGGATACGACTGGAGTAATTGGGCACACACACCAGGGCACCTAGGCAGCGCAACCCTGCTCCAGGAGTTGACCAGAGCTCCAAGTTCCTCCTGTTTTGCTGCCGCTCCATCCTTATGAGCATAAAGCACATGGTCAAAGCTGTCCCGACCCCGCCCCAGTCTCTGCAGGAGCGAAGAGAGGAAGAGGCAAGCAGTCTCTTTACAAAAGACGTGATCCAGGAGTTTGCCCCCTCACTTCGTGCCACATCCCATTAGGTGAAATGCTGCAAGGGAGGCTGGGAAATGTAGTCTCTGAGCGGCCATGGGGGTCAGCCATGTTGGAATGGGAATCGCCTGTATTACTTAAAGGGAGAAGGAGAAAATGAATACTGGGGAACAATGAATATTCTGCCTCAGGGAGAAGGGCAAGCTGTGAAGAGTGACATACTGTCTATTACACCCTGATGGTCCCGGGAGAGTCCAGCTCTTGTGGCCATAGGTTCATGGCCTCATTTGCCTGAAAATGGGGAGTCTGCTGGTCAGCCAATCTGGCTGTGCCAGTAGTTTTGTCTCCTGGGAAGAGCCCTTGCCCATTTATCCCCAGGGACACTCCACAGAGGGCCACCGGGGAGGACTCCCTTACTGCGGGCAGTGCCGCCTTGGCAGCCCGCCTTTCACTGCAGGAAATCGATGGCCTTAAGGCTGGTATGATCAGACACCCTTTGCAAAGCCTGGGAGCTTTTTGTTCCTTACTTTGTTGCTTTTGACACTTCTGTTTTGCAAATCAACTCAGAGAACCCTGGTTAAACTCTGACAGCTGGTATCCACATAAAAAATTTGACCCAGGCCCGATCTTTGAATCAGCATCCACCATGCCCCACCCTCCCTGTGGTCTCTGTCTCTGAGACCCCGGCAGGGGCTCTGCTCACCTTCTCAACCCTTGGCATCTCCCTTGGCCCTGACCTCTGCTGGGAAAATGAGGGTGGGCTCATCAGCCCTGTGACGCTGTGCCTGCTCCCAGGTTCTGCTTTAAGACGCCAGCACTGGGTAAGTGATGAGAGTGGGAATTCCTTGGGAAAACCACACCACGCTTGTGACTGCGAGTCACAAGCCTCCCAGTGCTTCTGGTCAAATTGCCCTCTCCTTCCCCTACTTGCTCTGAGTAGCGGGTCCCTCCCAGCTCTGCAATGGGGCAAGCGTCTTACTCAACACATGTAACAGGAAGTGGTTCTGCTGGTAACACAGCTGGACTCTCCTCTCTTCTCAGGGTGCAACATCGAAAATGCCTGCTACCCGCTGGGTGTCTGTGCTGAACGAACTGCCATCCAGAAGGCCATCTCGGAAGGGTACAAAGAGTTCAGGGCAATCGCTATTGCCAGGTGAGTGAGAAAGGCCGGTCGTAGCAACATTGGTTCATCTACTCAGCCAGCGTCCACCACACACCTGTTACTCATTCATTCATTCATCTGCGGTGTTTATTCTGAACTTCCTATGTGCCAGGCACTCTAGGGGCTGGGCTGAGGGCTAAAAGTAGAAGATAAATAAGCAACAGACTCTGCCCTTGGTAAGCCTAAAGAGCGGATAAACAATCAGGACAACTCTAAGACAAAGGGAGGTGTGTTCTTGTTCTGATAATAGTGCAAGTGCAATAACATCCCTACAAGATACAATAGAAAGGCCACAAAGAAACCTAAAGTGAGAGGGACCTAAAAGTCACCTGATTAGACTTCCTGGCCACTGTACCCATTTTACAGTTGAAGAAACTGAGACCCAGAGAGGATGAGGAGCTTTCCTAAGAATTAGTGGCAAAGCTGGGACAGATAGATCTCTAGAGTCCGACTCCAGAGCTCATTCCACTGTGCTGTGCTGTGACGGGAAATGAAACCCTCTTCCCTGCTCTCCTTGAGCCGATCCTGGGATCCTGTCTTCACTGTGCAAGCTGACACCTTTGCTTGGCATCAGTCACCCCTAGGTGCAAGAACCAGGATAAAAGGACAGGCTGGTGGGGTGACAGCCAGGCAACCCAGGTTATGGTCTAAACTGATCAGATTCCAGCCTGAGTCCTGGCTGAACAGGAGCACTTAACAACTCTTTCTACATGCCCCAAACATAAATATCCAAGTTCCCACGTGTGCCCTCAAAGGGAATTCTTTGAGTTCTTGCTGGGCATGGACCCAGACTCATTGGCTTCAGGATTCAAGGGATATGAATGGGCTGGTTTATTAATTCAGACCCCATTATACTTCTGATTTAATGATAAATTGCTCTTGTGTGTACCATTGCATTGTCTGAGAGAGAGTTGTCTTAACAAGATAACGGCACAGGGAAAATAGGTAGGAAATGTTGAATCTACCCAGAAAGAGACTACAGGGCTGACCCAGTGTTGGTGTTTAGAGACAACTGGGTGTATGGGTCATGGACTAGGAGTAAATGATCTCTTCATTGTCGGGGAGATGCAGGCCTTTTCTGGCAGAAATAGGAGGACCAGGAGCAAGGCTGATGGGGTCTGTATGACAGAAACCAGCCTCCATTTCTTTGATAAGATCCTCAATTTGGCTCGGTCTGGCCCCTGAGGTGATCCACATTATTGAAGGTTTTTTCCTCTGAGTAACTGGAGCCAAGGATGCGCTTCTGGAGGAGGGCCTCAGCTTCCGAGAGCTCTGCCTGGGACCAAGGTCTGTCCTGGCTTCCCTCCGGCTTTGGGAGGAATAAATGAGGCCACCCTGGGAACATTCTGTGCGGATGAGCGGAGATCATCAGGAGGGAAAAAAAGAGGTGGGGGGGATAACTCCATTTCAAAGCTGATCCAAGAAAATAATGATATTCTGGGGAAAGGAGGCCAAAGTCAACAAAAGGAGAACGGCGAGGTGGCCCTGCTTTGTTTAGAGTGTTCTAGTTGAAAGACTTTTTCTCTTGGCCATTGTCTACTCTTCAACATGACTGGGTTTTGTTTGTGATGATTAGTCAATGTCCTTGTTTACACCAAAACTGCATTTTTTCCAGCGCCCAACTGCTCCTCTCTGGGTGCTCAGCCGGCACTGGCATCCCCGGCCGGAAAAGCAGTCATTACTGCGCTAATGATTTGTTCAATTGAGGGTGTGGGTTTAGAGGGCGAATGGGAAGTGCCAGCTCCCTTGTTAGCACGGGTGGGCGTGCACCGTCTCAGAGAGCCCCCTCGAGATCTGTGCAATGGAGTGTGCGCAGCTCGGAGGGGATTTGGCTAACGAGGAGATGAGCTGGCCCCACCGGGGTCCCTGCTGTCATCATCAAAGTCAGTAGGTTTCCAGCCCGTCAAGTCTGATACGCTGGCCTCAGTGTGTGCCCACGGTCAGCACAAACCACAGGAGACTGTCAATACCCAGCACGAGGCAGGGGAGGCGGAGGGTGGGGGCGCGGGGTATGAGAGGAGGGAAGGTCCCTGTGCGCCCCACACCTTCTGTGATGCTTCTTGTCCCACCTCTCCCCTGAGCCTAATCACTGTCTGCCTGTAGTTGTGACATTTACACACAGATTTGATCTCCCTTTGAGACATCAAGGTCCCTGCAGGCGGGGATTCTCTGACGGGTCTTTGTTGCTCCCTCCCAGGCTTGCCTGGCATAGAGCAAGCTCTCAGCCAACATGCGTGCAGTGAAATAAAAAACAGAGACTTCCCTGGTTGTCTAGTAACTAAGACTCTGTGCTCCCAACGCAGGGGGCCTGGGTTTGATCCCTGATAAGAGAACTCCCCTGGTGGCTCAGACAGTAAAGCGTCTGCCTGCAATGCCGGAGACCGGGGTTCAATCCCTGGGTCAGGATGATCTGGAGGAGGAAATGGCAACCCACTCCAGTGTTCTTGCCTGGGAAATCCCATGGACAGAGGAGCTTGGTAGGCCACAGTCCATGGGATTTCCCAGGCAAGAGTACTGGAGTGGTTTGCCATTTCCTTCTCCAGGGGATCTTCCCGACCCAGGGATCAAACCCAGGTCTCCCGCGTTGCAGACAGACGCTTTAACCTCTGAGCCACCAAGGAAGCCCATCCCAAAACTAGAGAAAAGCCTATGCAGCAGCAAAGACCCAGCACAGCCAAAAATAAATAATTTTTTAAACTTGGTTAAAATAAATAAATACAAAATAACTGAGTCCAGGACTTCCCTGACAGACCAGTGGTTAAAATTCTGTGCTTCTAATGCAGGGGGCATGGGTTCGATCACTGGTCAGGGGAAGATCCCAAATGCTGTACGGTGTAGCCAAAAAAAAACCCAAGTCCAGCCTCCAAAGAGCTAATGAGAGGCTCTGGCTGCAACATCAGCCGCTTGGTAACCAGAAGGGTTCTTCTGGCTCAGTGTGCATCCTGGGCAGGGGTCCCCACCCTCTCAGGTCCCCAAGGGATCCCTCTGAAGCTAGGAGTGGGAGTGTGCTCAGTGAGGACCCACCTTCCCATGAGCAGAAGCTTTCTTTGACTGGACCCCCACAGGTAAAAGAGAGTAGTCATGAGGGCTAAATAAAGCAGCAGCCCTCCACTCTCTCTCCCCTCAGCTGCTTTATTCAATTCACAGCATCTGTCTCTAGCTGTATTGATATATGGTTGGCTGATAGGCTGATGGTTTGCCAGTTATCTGGTTCACCTGATAAGTCAAAAACTCCTGAATGCAGTGAATTTCACCTGTTTTGTTCACTGCTCTATCCCCAGCACAGACAGTGCCTGACATATAGTAGGTGCTCAATAAATAACTGTTTGTCCATTAACATGAGATAAACACTACAAAATACTTTGGAGGGTGTCTGGCACATTCTAGGTATCTATTGAACAATATGATAATTATTGTTAATACAAAATAGGTAAATTAATTATATAATATTATACCATGTAAAGCACATAGTATATAATAAAGCTGTATATGACAAGGTACGAAAATTATAACAGAGCTTATCTATCTAAAGGAGTAATGCCCAGTGACTAGTATAGGCAGTAATAATGTGTGTATAGCATTCTAAAGTTTAGGAAATGCTTTGCACATCTTAGTTCATTTTATCCTAGCATTTCTACAATGTGGATGACATTATTCCCCACATTTTAAAGGCAAAGATAGGACCCTTGCACGGGTTAAAATGACTTGGTCAAAATCACATGTAATTAACGAAAGGAGGAACTGATCAAGAATTGAATTTTAAATCCTGTGATCTTCCAGAAACATCAGAGAACTGTGGGTTTTAGAAGCGCAAAGATGATGGTGACTGCTGGCTTAACCTCTGATGCTTCATCAGACTTGGAGGTTCTTATAGTTTCCCGTTTCTTTAAACACCATCCTTTGTCCTGCTCAGAACTGGAAGGCTGCCTGCAGGTGCCTTCATTCTCAGAGACAACCCCTTGGCTGTAAGCTTCTCTTCTCCAACTTTCTCAGATGCAAGGTGCCCAGTTTTCTCAAGGACTCACGTGTGTCTTATTCTTTTATGCTTCAGTACCTTTGCACATACTATATCCCTTGTCTGCAACAGAGAAAAACCCGGAGCTTCAGAATAGCACTCTGTTACTTCATCTCAGTGAACCTGTGTCCTTGACAATAAAATGGTCATCTGGATGCTCAGGTTATACTGAGAATTACATGAGATAATGTCTACCTCTGCCTGGTCCAGAGCTTGGAGCAGAGCAGGTGCTCACTAATGATGACTTATGAACTCTACGCTTCCTCGAAGGACCAGGTCAGTGCCACCTCCTCCATGAAATACTCTCCCTCCCTAGTCAAGGATCATCTCCTGCTTACCGTGTGTTCTTACGCATTTTGTTTGAAATGATAACTCATCTAGTTTTCTTTGTCACCCACTGGGCTGAAGGCCAGAGACAAATTCTCCTTAACCTTTGTGTCCCTGGGTTGTGGGTGATAGTAAGTGTTCACTAAACATTCAGTGAACACACTAATGAGAAGAATGGTCCTACCCACGGTCTTGCCCCTGCAAGCGTGGAAAGTTCTGTCCACTGCTTCTCAGCCTCTAGGACGCATCTCATCTGTGAACCAGGAACTGCCTGGAGGGATTTGACTTAATCTGCAGGCAGGCAGGACTCCTGAATTTAAGCAGTCATTCTCATGTTGCCAAAGAGACTGATCCGTGTTTTTGTTTCTCTGCTTCCCCAGTGACTTGCAAGATGATTTTATCTCACCCTGTGGGGCTTGCAGACAGGTCATGAGAGAGGTAAGCAACTGCCCTTTCTTTCTGGAATGGATTTTCCCCTGCTCTTCCCTGCTCTTCCAGGCCCCGGCAGCCAAGCTAGGCCAAGCGAAAAGACACAACGACTGTCCTATTAGCTGGGCTGGCTGATTCCTAACACCTTCCCAAACTTGCATGAATCACTGGAAATTATTCTTTCATTCAGCAAATACTGAGCGTCCGCTCTGTGCTAGGCATTGACCTTGCTCTGGAGAGACAGCAGTGAAAAGACAGGCCAGGCCCTACACTCACAGACATTATAGTCTAGTGTAGAAGACAGACAAATAAGGAGCAAAATAAATCAACAGAGTTGCTGAGAGTGATGAGGGCTACAGAGAAAAACAATGCAGAAGAAAGGAGTTGAGAGTGACAGAGGTGGAGCTGACTCTAGGTCAGAGTCAAAGGTCAGCAAACAACAGCCCGCAGGGAAATCCAGACTTCTGCTTGTTGTGGTAAATAGTGTTACTGGCATGCATCCACACCCATCAATTCACACGTTCCCTCTGGCTGCTCAGGTCCTACCAGGGAGAGAGAGGAATTACAACATGGACCTAATGGCCCGCAAGGCCTAAAATATTTACTATCTGGCCCTTTATGGGAAAAAGTTTGCCAACCCCTGCTTTTAGATGGCCGGGAGGGGTCTCTCTTTGAAGATAACATTTGAGCAGAGATATAGATAATGAGAAAAGATGAGACAGATCAAGCTCTCGAGATTTGCAGGTGGAGGAAGCAGCAAGTTTAATGCTTACACACTTGGTGAGTTGCATGAACAGTATGAAAGTCAAAGAGGCTAGAACACCAGGGCAGGGCTTGGGGTTAGTAATTGATGAAGACAGAGACATGGTCAGGGGCCCATCACACAGGGTCTAGTAGGCCGTGGATAGAGGGTATATTTCACTCCAGGAGTAAAGGGAACTGAATTGTACACTTAAAAATGGATAAAATGATAACTTGTATGTATATTTTATGATATTAAAACTCAAGTTGGGGGAAGAAAAGAATAAAGGAAATTCAGTGGCTGTTTTTAAGAAGGGATTCAAAGGATCTGATGTACTTTTTACAAAGATCTTGGTTGGAAGGCTTCAGTTTCTTCAATTCAAGGGGCTGGATTCAATCCTTTCTTCTGAATCTGGGCTCAGTGAGGTTCTTGATGTGTATAGGTACATTTGAGGAAGAGGGATGTCAGTATCTCTGGTGGACCCTCAAAGGGGCCTGTGCCCACCAGAGCCCCCAAAGGCTAAAGCCACCAACTTGAAGAGTCCCCAGGCCTTGAGCTCTGATGAGACATCCTCGACCCCTCTAAATACAGCATCTCATTTAATCCCCACGCCCCGCATGGAGGGAAGTGTGGGTCGTTATCCCCATTCGTCAGAGAAGCAAGTGACCTGCTGAAGGACACACAGCCAGCCGGTCAGTGGCAAGCTGGCACTCACTATAGCCATTCCGGCCAACACAAAGCCCACACTCCCCGCCGGCCTCCTCGCTCCCTTTAAGGTCCTACAAAAGAGACAAATTATTTTTGGCCACAGTGGAGATAAAGTGATGCTGTGCAGAATCGGAGTAGCTTGTTCCATGGGGGCTTCTGCTTTGGGAGCTGCTGGAATTTGAGGGGAGGTGGGGGGGGGGCGTGTTTCGGCTTTGCTGTTGCACTTTGAGGGGTTCCTAGCATCTCTGGAACACACAGACATCTTCATCCTCCTGCTGCTCGCCAGGCCTGCAAATCAGGCACAGTTAGCCGGACTCATTTCCCAAATCTAGATGAAAAATGCCACCAGGAAGGCTCTGAATTCACATTAGGGACTTCATTCGCCACCCCTGTTAGAGGGGCGCAAATGGCCACCCAGCACCACGGCATGTCCCAGGCCACAGACAGCAAGCACATGAAGATGCCAGCTCCCTGACTCCCCAGACCCTCCTGGCATGTAATTGCTCAAGGCTGTTTTCTCCACGCAGATCAGATGTTGGCAAATGAGAGACGGCAAATGGAAAAGCTGAAGGAGAGACAAGCAAAACAGAAACCAAAATGCAAATAATAAGATCTGAAGCTTCGGGGCTGGAGGCCTGGCACTTAAACTCGCCTCCACTCCACTTTCACCCACACCCTCAGGCAGAGGCCGCCAAGCAGAAAAATTTCCTTCCTTAAAACATTAGCTTTAAAAAGACGGATTGTGCCTGGTAATAATTTGGTGATTCAGGCCAAAGCATCAGCAGCAGGCTGCAGACCTGAACCATCACCAGGAACGTCTAGTTGTCACTAAAAATGGCTTCCACTGGGTATTTACTACGTGCAGGCCCTTTCCACCCATTGCCTCCAGTACTCGTGGCATCTGGCCAGGTAGAGCCTCAGGCTGTTGACTCCAGCTCCCCAGGATACTCTCCATTACACTGCTGGTTTAACTCTCCACCCAGGACACCTATCTTCCTGCCTGATAAGTCTTTTGTCTCTAAAACCATTTCACGGCTCAAGACACGAGACCCAAAGAGTTTCATAATTTGCCCCATGTTACTTTGCAAAGCCTCAGTTTCCTTATCAGTAAAATGGGAATAATATCTACCTACCTCAAAGGGCAGATGATGAAATCCTGCATGTTCATTGTACAGTGTGTGATGAGGCAGGCATGCAACCTCTCCAGGTTCTCAGGAGTTATCGAGAGGCCCCAAGGGAAGAAGATATGGGTTGTTATTTGTCACAACAGGAGGGGATCTGGCCCCAGGGGTTAGATATTGTTCTTATAAAGTCCTACTGTTGTTCAGTTGCTAAGTCACATCAGCCTTTTTGTGACCCCATGGACTGCAGCACGCCAGGCTTCCCTGTCCTTCACTATCTCCCAGAGTTTGCTCAAACTCATGTCCATTGAGTTGGCGATGCTATCTAGCCATTTCATCCTCTGCCACCCTCTTCACCTTTTGCCTTCAACCTTTCCCAGCTTCAGGGTCTTTTCCAATGAGCCAGATCTTCATATCAGGTGGCCAAAGTGTTGGTGAGTCCTAATCACAGAACAGGGCATTTACTGCCCCTTAGCAATGTGCCAAGCTCTGTGCTAACTGCTTATGCCATCTTTCACTGGCTCCTCCCTCAGGCCCTATGAACCAGGTATGATTATTATCATTCCCATTTTACAGGTGAGAAAACTGAGACACGGGGAGCACATTAGACAGTAGGAGGCACTCAACCCAGGCCAGACTCAAACCAGGGCAGCCTTCACCCCTCAGCCACACTGCCTCCCTCACACTGGATTTGCCTCTTTTCCAGTTTGGCACCGACTGGGCTGTCTACATGACCAAGCTGGACGGCACGTATGTTGTCAGGACGGTCCAGGAGCTGCTGCCGGAATCTTTTGGGCCCGAGGACCTGCAGAAAATCCAGTGAGGGATGGAGAGCACCCTCCGCCCGGGAGCCCCTGCGTTCCTACACGGGCTAAAGGGGACGACCCCCCGGAGGACTTCATGAAGACATTCTCACAGACCTGGGGACACCTGCCGAACGGGCCCCAACCCCCCGGGCACTAGGCAGAGACGATTTTTCCAATTAACACTCGAGCACCAGGTTTCTACGAAGTGATACCGGGTTTTCCTTCCGGCCTCTCCTTGCAACCCGTCTCGTCCTCCCCAGAACTCAGGGCACCCCGTCTTTCTCTCTCCTTCCCGTGGGCCTTCTTTCAAATTCCAGCCTAGTCTGGACTGCTTCCCCATCTGCCTTCCCAAGGTTCTGTCCTGCTCTGGGTGACTTTTCTAATGATAAACATCACAAAACATTTGAGAGAGGCCTTTTGCTCCATCTCAATCCTTGCTGTAGCTCTCAGGAAGGGCAGTCTTTATATTAAATAGAAAGACCTGTACTCTTCCTGCCAGGAACAGAATCAGACACCTTGGATCTGTGGAGCTGGTGTGGAGAGCTGAGTTTTTAGGTCTCTTGTCCCTGCCTTCTTCCAATGGGGGTCCGCTGGGCTGGGTCTTACTGCGAACGGCCATTTCTAGAGTCTATTCTGGGCTAAGTCAGACCCGGGCCCTGGATGCTGTCCCCCCCCCCAAGTATAAAGATAGGGAGGGGCTGTTTGTCTAGAGGGCAGAGCAGACATGTCCATGAGGACCTGCTGTGTGTCCAGTGATTTTACCTGGATTATTTTGTATTTAAAGTACTCAACAACTCAGTAAAGTAGCTATCTCCCCCTTCTTACAGTTGGGGGCCCTGGGCCTCAGCAAGGCCGAGTAACTTGCTTTCAGACCACAGCAAAATTTAAACCAAAATCCAGGTCCCATCACTCCCCCTTGTATAGTTTGGGCCGAGGCGGAAAAGGAAAGACGACCTCAACAGAAGTAGGTTACCTTTATTCAGGCAAGGAGGGGCGACAGTCTACCAGGCTGAGCGCTGAGAGGGATCAGGGAGGCTCCATATTTATAGAGAGGTTTGTGGAAGCGATAAGGGAAACGTTAATCAGGCGGGATGTTTTGGGTATTCTTTAGTTGAGATGGCGTTTGTAGTTGGGCAGGGGGTGATAAGTCTTCTGGGCAGGTGTAGGGGGTGGAAGGTTTCTGGACAGGGGGTGATAAGTCCCAGATAGTTTAAAAAAAAAAAAAAAAAAAACACGTCCCAGATAGATGCAACCGGCCTCGAGCCTCAGGGCGGAACCTAAAGTTCTGTTTTGTTTTCTCCAAAGTTAGATGATTCATCAAGGGCCTCTGAGACTGTTGTTTTCTTTTCTAGGCCCAAAGATTCCTTCACCCCTAGGATCTAGAAACAGTGCCTGCTCTTTGCCATGTGCTGTGATGTAGCAGACCTGGAATCTGAACCAGGTCTGACTCTTGAGTCTTTTTCCACTTTTTCTGCAGCTGATGTCTGGCTGCCTTTATTTACTGAGTCTTTTCTATATGCCAAACACTGCAGAGAAAGATGTAAAGAAACAGTTTCTGCCTCTGAGGAATTTGCAATCTGATAGAGAGGTGTAAACAGGACTCAGGCTCAGAAACACACACTGTGATCTAGGCTGGTAGCAAGCGCAGGGGGCAGCACGCTGCCTTCTGGGGAGTGAAGTTGGTCAGAGAGGGAACTGTCTGTTTCCTTGGTGCAATTAGGAAGGTGAGGGCTGAAAAGGGAAGGAGCGGGGCTGGCTCTGTAAAGGGGGCTGGCAGCTCTAGGTGTCCTCCCTGGAAGAGCTGGCCTCGGGCCAGTCTTTGTGGCTGGGGTAACAATAGAGCGTGCGTTTCCTCTTTCTCCCCTTCCCTGGGAGTCCTTTCTTTTGAGATCAGAGCATCTGCAGGGATTACTGGTGCGTGCGTGCTAAGTTATTTCCACTGTGTCCGACTCTTTGTGACCCCATGGACTGTAGCCCATCAGGCCCCTCTGTCCATGGGATTCTCCAGGCAAGAATACTGGAGTGGGTTGCATGCCCTCCTCCAGGGGATCTTCCTGATCCAGGGATCAAACCCGTGTCTCATACACCTGCCTATATTGACAAGCTTGTTCTTTACCACTAGCGCCACCTTGGAAGCCCTACTGTCTGGTAAGACTGGCTTTTCCATTACCTACCCAGACTTACCTGCTGCCATCTCGAGAGACAGAAAAGTAGTATTTCCAACCTTCTACATGATGCAAGACTGCACCCTGCCTTTCTCTAGAAATGGTTGCCGAGAACTTCAGCACACTCTTCTGGATGTTCTCAACCGGGAGAAGTGAAGAAAGAAAAAGAAGACAGGAAGCAGGAAGAAAATGGGCCAAGACATTAACATCAGTTAAAATTCTGATCAGTGGGAATCTAGAGTAGTGGGTTATTTTCCGTTGTACATATCTGGATTTTTTTAATTCCCAAAGTATTTCTTTTTCATTTAACAACAACAACAAAAATGATGATCTGGCATAATGGAGTTAAACAGCCTCCGAACCATGTGGCGGCCAAACTGTGTGATTTCATTACCCTGAGTCTCAATTTCCTCATCTGTAAATCAGCGGTGACAGTTCCCAGGGAACAGCATTGTCTATGGATCAAAGGAAAGAGGCCTTATTGAGAGCCCGGTGCTGGGTCTGCAGTAAGCTCTTGATATGTGCCAGCTGTCCCTCTTGTGAAGGGTGACAAATCTGGGTCCTTTGCAGATGGATGTGATTTTTGCAAACAGGCTTTTACACTTGCTTAATAATTTTTTAATTGAGTTCCTACTGTGTTGTAGGGCTGGGGCCACACCCTGGGTTGCAGCAGTAAAGATATAAAATCTCTGTCCTCACAGGGTTCTGTCTGCCTGTGGGAAAGACATCTTAAGTCAGCGGTTCCCAACCTTTCAGGCACCAGGGACCGGTTTCATGGAAGACAGTTTTTTGGGGATGGGTCAAGCTCATTACATTTATTTTGCACTTTATTTCTATTGGGAATTCCCAGATGGCACAGTGGTCAAAAATCTGCCTTCCATTACCAGGAGACGCAAGCGATTCGGGTTCAATCCCTGGCTCGAGAAGATCCCCTGGAGTAGAAAATGGCAACCCACTCTAGTATTCTTGCCTGGAAAATCTCATGGACAGAGGAGCTTTGTGGGCTACAGTTCATGGGGTTGCAAAGAGTCGGATACAACTGATCACGCATGCACTGCACTTATTTCTGTTATTATTACATCAGTTCCACCTCAGATCGTTAGGCAATAGATCCCTGATCTAAATGATCCTAGGGACTTCCCTGGTGGTCCAGTGGTTAAGACTTCACTTTCCAATGCAGGGGGTGCAAGTTCAGTCCTTGGTCCAGGAGCTGAGATTCCCACATGCCTTGCAGCCAAAAAACCAAAATATGAAAAAGATACAATATTGTAACAAATTCAAAAAATACTTTAAAAAAAGGTCCACATTTTTAAAAAAAATCTTTAAAAAATAAAATGAATTATTCTGTCCATCATGACAAGGGCCACCCAAGGGGAAGTAAGTGCTCTGGGGGCAAGTCGCAGGGGGAATGGAGTTAGCTTGAGAATGGGCAGGGCAACCCTAAGGAGGAGATATTTCAGCCGGGGCACAAGAAAGGTCAGCCAGTTAGGGAGTGGGGTAGGAGGAGGGGCCAAGAATGAAGCCTGGAGGACTAAGCCTAGTGTTCTTTTTTGTGCGTGTGTGCGGGCTCAGTCGCTTCAGTCGTGTCCGACTCTGCAACCCCATTGACTATAGCCCACTAGGCTCCTCTATCCACAGGATTTTCCAGGCAAGAATACTGGAGTGGGTTGCCATGCCCTGGTCCAGCAGATCTTCCTGACCCAGGGATTGAACCCACATCTCTTACACCTCCTGCATTGGCAGGCAGGTTCTTTACCACTTCATGGGAACAGACTGGGGAAGGCACTTTGCAAAGAAGGATTCCAAAAATTATTCGAACAGTGTCCCCTTGGAAGAATGACACTCATTTGGCTGCAGAAAGGCTGGGATGTTTGTTTTAAATAAAAGCACTTTCATTTTGTAGTCCTGCTGTTCTGGGTCTGTGATTTCAGAGCAGCACGTGTTCCATTGTTTAAGGCTGTCTGTGTTTTTTAGGACCCTAAAGCTAAGTCCCAGATTCCCATGGACATAAATAGAAGCATGTATATCTCTGCTGCTCTTGCCAGCTGCTGCTAACTGCTTATGTAAACTACGAGATTCTTTAGGATTTCCTTTTGGCAGGGAGGAGGGAACAAATATGATTCACAGGTGCCAGGGGCACTTTGGGTGCCTGTGTCTGAAATGAAGCCAGAAAATGCTGTTCAAGAATAAATAATGGAATGGCCTAATAAGTCTCACATGCATGAGTGCATGGGAGAAGGCAATGGCACCCCACTCCAGTACTCTTGCCTGGAAAATCCCATGGACAGAGGAGCCTGGTAGGCTGCGGTCCATGGGGTCGCTATGAGTCAGACATGACTGAGCAACTTCACTTTCACTTTTCACTTTCACCCATTGGAGAAGGAAATGGCAACCCACTCCAGTGTTCTTCCCTGGAGAATCCCAGGGACGGGGGAGCCTGGTGGGCTGATGTCTGTGGGGTCACACAGAGTCAGACGCGACTGAAGTGACTCAGTAGCAGCAGCATGAGTGCATGCTAAGCACTCCAGTCGTGTCTCTGTGTGACTGCAGCCCGCCAGGCTCCACTGTCCATGGGATTCTCCGGGCAAGAAGGTAGGTTGCTGTGCCCTCCTCCAGAGGATCTTTCTGACCCAGGGATCAAATCCACATCTCTTGCATCTAACCTGCATTGGCAGGTGGGTTCTTTACCACTAGCACTACCTGGGAAGTCCAGTAAGTCTCACACATATATAATATTTTTTATTGGATTATAGGAACACAGAAAATACTTGGAAGGAGTGCTTAGTCTGTTGATAGTTGTTGAGGGGATGGGAAGGGGAAGTTAAGGGAGGACAAATTAAAAACTCTACAACTAAACAGAAAAGAAAATGTCATAATGATTGTACTAGCTACCTATGGCTGTGTAACAAATTATGCCAAAATTTAGCAGCTTGGGACAACAGAAATTTATTATCACACAGTTCCTGCAGGTCAGGAGTCTGGGGTGAACTGGGTCATCTCAAAGTCTCATACAAGACTGCAGTTAAGGCATCACTGGGGCTGCAGGCTCATCTGAAGGCTCCACTGGGGAAGGATCAACTTCAAAGCTAACATGTGTGGCTGTTGGCAGGACTCCTACAGGCTGTTGTTGTTACTGTTTAGTTCTTTGTGACATGAGCTGCTCGACAGGGCAATTCACAGCACAGCAACTGGCTTCCCTCAGAAGAAGCACGAGGGGGAGCCAGAGAGAAGCCAGAGTTTTTCGGTGGGCTGATTGCAAAAGTAATATCCCATCACTTAGCCAAATTCTATGCCTTAGAAGATGTCCCTGAAGTCCAGCCCACAGTCAAGAGGAGGGAATTCCACAAAGGCATGGATACTGGCATGGGGTGGGTGTCACTCTAAAGATGTAAAATTTGGGGCTTAGACTCTACACATGGACATCACCAGATGGTCAACACCAAAATCAGATTGATTATATTCTTTGCAGCCAAAGATGGAGAAGCTCTATACAGTCAGCGAAAACAAGACTGGGAGCTGACTGTGGCTCAGATCATCAACTCCTTACTGCCAAATTCAGCTGAAAGTGAAGAAAGTGGAGAAAACCACTCGACCATTCAGGTGTGACCTGAATCAGTACGACTATGACCATGACTATACAGAGGACGTGAGAAGTGGATTCAAGGGACTAGACCTGATAGACAGAGCGCCTGATGAGCTATGGACGGAGATTCGTGACACTGTACAGGAGACAGGGATCAAGACCATCCCCAAGAAAAAGAAATGCAAAAAAGCAAAATGGCTGTCTGAGGAGGCCTTACAAATAGCTGTGAAAAGAAGGGAAGTGAAAAGCAAAGGAGAAAAGGAAAGATATATCCATTTGAATGCAGAGTTTCAAAGACTAGCAAGGAGAGATAAGAAAGCCTTCCTCAGCGATCAATGCAAAGAAATAGAGGAAAACAATAGAATGGGAAAGACTAGAGATCTCTTCAAGAAAATTAGAGATAGCAAGGGAACATTTCATGCAAAGATGGGCTCAATAAAGGACAGAAACGGTATGGACCTAACAGAAGCAAATGATATTAAGAAGAGGTGGCAAGAATACACAGAAGAACTGTACAAAAAAGAGCTTCATGAACCAGATAATCATGATGGTGTGATCACTCACCTAAAGCCAGACATCCTGGAATGTGAAGTCAAGTGGCCTTAGGAAGCATCACTACGAACAAAGCTAGTGGAGGTGATGGAATTCCAGTTGAGCTATTTCAAATCCTGAAAGATGATGCTGTGAAAGTGCTGCACTCAATATGCCAGCAAATTTGGAAAACTCAGCAGTGGCCACAGGACTAGAAAAGGTCAGTTTTCATTCCAATCCCAAAGAAAGGCAATACCAAAGAATGTTCAAACTAACGCACAATTGCACTCATCTCACACGCTAGTAAAGTAATGCTCAAAATTCTCCAAGCCAGGCTTCAGCAATACGTGAACCGTGAACTTCCAGATGTTCAAGCTGGTCTTAGAAAAGGCAGAGGAACCAGAAATCAAATTGCCAACATCTGCTGGATCATCGAAAAAGCAAGAGAATTCCAGAAAAAACATCTACTTCTGCTTTATTGACTATGCCAAAGCCATTGACTGTGTGGATCACAATAAACTGTGGAAAATTCTTCAAGAGATAGGAATATCAGACCACCTGACCTGCCTCTTGAGAAACCTGTATGCAGGTCAGGAAGCCACAGTTAGAATTGGACATGGAGCAACAGACTGGTTTCAAATAGGAAAAGGAGTACGTCAAGGCTGTATATTGTCACCCTGCTTATTTAACTTATATGCAGAGTACATCATGAGAAACACTGGGCTGGAGGAAGCACAAACTGAAACCAAGATTGCCTGGAGAAATATCAATAACCTCAGATATGCAGATAACACCACCCTTTTGGCAGAAAGTGAAGACGAACTAAAGAGCCTCTTGATGAAAGTGAGAGAGGAGAGTGAAAAAGTTGGCTTAAAGCTCAACATTCAGAAAACTAAGATCATGGCATCCGTCCCAACACTTTATGGCAAATAGATGGGGAAACAGTGGCTTACTTTACTTTTCTTGGCTCCAAAATCACTGCAGATGGTGACTGCAGTCATGAAATTAAAAGACTCCTTGGAAGGAAAGTTATGACCAACCT